CTTAAATATCCTCTTGCGGATCAACACTTTTGCATTATGTCATGTCGATGAAATACAATACAAAAAATGTGAAAATGACACAAAAAGAAAAGAAACGAGTTAGTACAGGCAAGATAATCAATAGAATTAAAAGATGTTATTTAAAGATAAATATAACACCTACCCAATCATGGCATCTACCCGAGCATGCTTTTATTAAATAGCAATTATACCCAGTCATGCTTTTTACCCTGATAATTTATTCAAGAATTTGATTTTAACCATATGGTATCTGGTTCACATGTTTTTATCTGAAGAGAATAAATATATTCTACGAATTTAAAGCAAAAGGTAAAGGTTTAGTGTCGTTCCTCCTTCGTGTATACCTATTTTGGCACCTATTGACGGATAGAGGTTCAGTATGGCTATACTTAGGGTGACCGTTCTACAGTCTACTACATGCATGGTTTTGGCTCTAACGGAAAAATGTACTTGAATTTTCCGTGATGTCAGTGTCCCCTTGGGCTAGCAAACCCTCAATCCTAACCCATTACAGGCATAAATAGATCAAGTTCAATTCGAGGGGGGGTCCCTTCCTTATACCCATACGAGGAATAAATTCCTACGAATGTATAAGATATTTGTAACCCAGAGGTTATTTGCTAAAACTCATACGAAGAATAAATTTTTACGAGAGTAAAACGTTCACCCCTACTTAATTGGGATGAAGCTCGGATATAGAGTTTATGTCATGCAAATGCACGTGAGGTATGTGAGGAGGAACATGCAAACCTTTGACTCAAAAAAGGGAAAAGTCTCGGCAGAAACTTTAACAAAGCTGAAAACATAAATTAAAACATTAGCACAACTATTTACATAAAAAAGAACAATAAATTAACCAATGTACAAGTGACTTACAGCCTGACTCTTACAAGTCCCTTGCAGAGTCGCCAAGCTATCATAACTATTTTTTAAAACAATGATTTTTAAAAAATTAATTATGAATTTATTCGAAAAATTGGGATTTTTAATTAATTTGAATTATTTTGAATAGGAGTCGCCATCAACCTTTGGGTTAGGATGGTCGAATACCTAAAAACGTCTCTTAAAACAATTTTAAGAAAAATCATTTTTAAGACAAGTATTGGTATGCGTTATCAAAGATTCTTTTTAGGATCTAGGAGTCGATTACACGTGGTTAGGATCCAAGAGTCGATTACATGTGAGGAAGGATTAGCACCCCCACAACGCCCAAATCTGGTACCTAATCTCTTACACATTGTCGTAAATGGTGGAAATTGTGAATTCATATCAATATTTAAATTACGATACATTTATTGAACATTTGATAGTTTGTTTTGAATTAATTATTAGGGAACATTCCTTAATTTGAGAAGAAATCACGGGATTTGCACATCCTCCAATAGGAAGGCTATCCCATTTATTTCTCCTTTATACGAGAAATGTCCCATCCATAACGTTATCAAAAAGCACAAATCGAATATAAATCGACTATCAATAATTGCATAAAATAAATTTTTATTAAAAACATGCATTTCATCATTTGAATTAAAATAAAAACGAATTAATTAGAACTTTTAAAAAATAAACTCGATTTATTTCGAGTTCGCATTTCGTTCGAATGTCGTATCAGATCGCACTACTTCGACCAAGCAATACATTTCACGCTCATTCTACGCCAAGTGTTCTCGAAAATCTTCGAATAAAATATAAAAATATATGATCTAGTGGATATTTCATAAATTAATTAAACGAGAAGGTAAAATTTAGTATTATCACCTATACACAAGGGTTGAGAATATTAGATAAATATATACATGTATATCTATAACATGATATAATATATACATACATAAATAATACTAACAAATATACAATGTCCATACATAGTAAAATGTAAGGAAACAAAATCTAACTATGCAAGAATTAAATTATAGGGACTAAAATAAAATAAAGAGGAAATAAAACATAATAATTAAAGGAATAAAACTAAAGTACTGAAAAATAAAGAGACATAAATAAAAAATTAGAACATTAAAGCAAGTAAATGGTAAGGACTGAAATTAAATAAAGAAAATAAAAGGCATAAATTTAAAAGTGCATGAAATTAAATAAAAAAAATAAAAGAGTAATAAAAATAAAATGTTAGTGTTAATTTTAATTTTTAACCAGGACCGTAAATAATGTGAGTCGTACCCCGAGGCGGGTCGTCGAAAGGTCGTACGATTTTTCGAATATAAATAAATAAATAAATAATAACGATTAGTGTTAGCAGTTAGCGATTAGAAGTTAGAAAAGTTAGTTGTTAATGGTTAGCAGAGTTCGGATCATAATAATGTGGATCGCACCTCAGATCGGGTCATCACAAGGTCGAATAATAATTCAAACAAATTAATAAAAATAAAATAAAAACAATATTGGTTAGCAAAATCTGGACCATAATAATGTGGATCATACCCCAGATCGGGTCACCACAAGGTCCAATTGTATATTAGCGATAAATAAATGTCAATGGTTAATATGCAATAAAATAAAAGTTAGTAGTTAACTTGAAATAAATAACATATCAAATAGTGACCAAATTAAAAGTTAATAAAATCAGCATGCATAATCAAAATAAATAAAATAATAGGTGACCAGAGTACAAAAAAGGCTAAAATACATGGGACTTAAAGGTGATTTTCCCTAACAGTGACCAAAGCATGAAATATGCGGAAACTAAAGGACTCGAGAGTAATTTGACAACAAGAATGGTGACCAAAATGATAAAACAATCTAAAGGTCCAAGGAGCTTAACGTGGTTTACTCAAAAACTCAAAACAGGCACCCCCTTCTTTTATTTCTTCTCTACATGCGACTGACCACACCTCATCAAACCCAGTCAACAACGCCGGCCACCGAAACTCGGGGGTTGTTTCCCTTCAGTCGCCACCCAAACAAACAGATGGTGTACGGTACAGGGTTAATTTTGTAATTATGTACCAGGATTTTCTATTATAAATAGAGATGTAACCTAAATCTATGAGAATAGAATAAAATTTTCTAGCGCTGCCTAGGCACCGATGACGTAAGTACATTGTCAAACCTCGTTAAAATTCTTGTGTTCTTTCGTTTACTTTACCCGATTTATCAACAGATGGACACCCTGTCGACGAAACAAAGTGAAACAAAACCCGTCTCCACATTTCTCATTCTTAGCTGAACTCCTAAAGAGCACGACCAACTGCTTCTAGTCGTGAATCGGCGTCGCTATAAGCCTCCGACCGGCCGAACGATGGTCGGTTTAACCACAACTTAGACCTAAGCAAACCCGAAAAAAAGAAGCCCAAAACAACCCACCCGAATGTACACCGACACCCTATACAAACACTCTAAATCGACAAACAAAACATCAACCTCACCGTTTGAACCACCTTAAACCGGCGACCAACAACTATTCACGCTCCTCCCAGATACATGACAATCGACCACCGACCAAGGCAAACATCATGTACCAGACCAGTTACTGGAAAAAAGAAGGTAATACCAAGCCTTGTTTATTTGCTTTTCTGTTTTAACATACAAAACTGGGGGTTTCTGCTTTCTGATTGGTTTTTAAAGCCCAAAATTACAAATGGTATAAATGAAAGTTTGGCCATTACATTTTGTTCCCTCTTTAATTTTCGGACAAAATTAAGGTATTACATACCCTTTGTTGGAATGGAACTAAGATATTTTGGTCCTAGGAAGAAGCTGTGAATTGATCTTGGGATTTAAGTGTTTTTATGCATTTTTTAATTTATAAAATGTTTCCTTTGACAACCTGAGCCTAATTGGTTGAAGCTTACAATAATACCACACACCACCACCCTCCCTTAAAATTTTTAAATTTTAATAATTTATTTTATTTTTGTACATGTTAAAGGTTTAAATTAATAAATGAAAATAACGATTTGATGACATTGAGTAAAGATACAAAAAGACGATTTCTTTTTTTCTCATTTTTCCTAAAATATTTAAGAGTGGTTGCAAATAATAAATGAAATAACCGTGTAACTAATATTTCTTCAAATAAAATCAAATTATGGCTAACTGAAAAAAAATCAATTTTTTATAGCCAAAGATTCTAATAAAATTTCAATAATAAGATTTTTCATGGATTTCTTCAAATAAGGTCATATATTTAGTAAAATAAAATTTATTTACATATTTATATCAAAATTGAAAAAGAAAAAAACATTTGCACAAAATATCCTTATGGAGCTGAAAATAAAAAATATATATTATAAATTATTATATATAAATCTTATAAAAAAAATATATTTGAATGAAATGAAACAATTTTTTCCTTTAAAAAGTTAAATAAAATTCTTTTGAAAACTACTACTAATTCTTAATTAATAACCTACCCCAATAAACTTTATAACATTTTCTTTTCTCGTATATTAATTAGGATTCACTCAACTGATGCAGATAGATATTAATTAAAGTTTATTTAATTATCACCTTAAAAAAGTATTTATATTAAATGCTTTAATTGAGATTAAACTTAACAAAAATATATTATATTAATTAAATATTTTCCCCGTATATTAAGATTTTGTTTTCCCAAACAGTAATCTCTGACTTTATTTCTTCTTTAACGATTTTGTTTGTGCTCTGCTTTTCCCGGAAAAAAGTAGATATTTTCCCCTTTAAATTTCGTTATTATACAATTTAAAAGACCCAATACCATCAAATCTTTTACCCAGAAAACTTATAATTTTTCCATCGTTTTCTCGGACTTCCTTTGGTTTTCAGATTAATTGGGCTGTTTTTTAGTACTGGGTTTCTGAAGTTGACTTGAAAGAATTCAAGTTTGTATTTTTCTAAGCTGTTTCTTCATTTTTGATCAAAACAGAGTCGGCTTGAGTTTCCTTCAAGTTCAAAGGAAAATAAAACAAAAAGAACCCCTTTTTATTTATTTATTTTGGATTGTTGTTTCGTTTTGCTTGAGCTGGAAGGAGTTGAATTTGACAAAGACTTGGGTCGAATACAGAGCTATTTTATTTATTCATTTATTTTCTCTCGCTTTTCTGTTTCCTTAAAATCTTCAAACGTCAAGAATTCGGGATTTCGATTTCTCTTCAGACACAGATTTGATTTTTCTAACATAATCTCGATATCTCTGTTTATTGTTGGAGTCATGATTTTCGACACTGGATTAACTCGATCAAACCTCGAAAGCTTTCTCCATTGCACAACACCATCAGCAAAATCCAAATTCCTTCCCAAGGTTAGCAAAAAAAGGGGGGGGGGAAAGCATTGTTTTGATCATGGGTTCATACTCTGTTGTTGTGACTTGTGATTATTGTTTGATTTTTTTTCTATTTTGCAGAGTGAAATTAGGAACCTTAATCGTTTATGGCATCCACAGGAGAGAGAAAACGTTGAATATTTCACATTATCTGACCTTTGGAGTTCTTATGATGAATGGAGTGCGTATGGTGCCGGTGTTCCCATCATGTTGAATGACAACGAAACCTTAGTCCAGTACTATGTCCCGTATCTCTCCGCCATCCAAATCTTCACCAGCAATTCTCCGGTCAACAGCTTAAGGTAAACCAATATTTTCCCCCGGTCGAACTTTAGTTTTCCGATTAAATTCAATGGCATCTGAATTGTTTGATCGGTGTCTCGGTCAGGGAAGAGACGGAATCGGGTGATAGGGATTCGTTCAGTGATTCGAGCAGCAACGTGAGCGAAAGCGACAAGTTATGGAGGTGGGACGGATGCTCGTCAGAGGACGGCGGGTCCGAGCAAGACAGCGGTTGGCACGTCAATAACAGGTTGGGATACCTTTACTTTGAGTATTTCGAGCGATCAACTCCGTATGGAAGAGTCCCTCTCACGGATAAGGTACTTTGAGCTATCGGTTTATCATAGCCATCTTATGAAGAAGAAAACAAATGAAAGTTCTGATCTTTCAACATGAACAATTCTCCATTGCAGGTTAAGGGATTATGTGGAAGATACCCTGGTTTGATGTCATCGAGGAGCGTTGATCTTTCTCCAGCCAGTTGGATGGCAGTTTCCTGGTTTCTATCTTTCACCGTCAAATCTCGATTTTGTCATTGTTGCCAATAGAAAATTCAAATTATTATATATTTGATATATTTTTTTATTAATAATTTATTTTTATCTCTTAGTAACATAAAATTATGTATCCATCTATGATTATTGGCTGATGTGTCTGATAATATCATCAGGTACCCAATTTATCACATTCCCATGGGGAGCAACATAAAGGACTTGTCCACATGCTTCCTTACTTACCACACTCTATCATCTTCTTTTCAAGGTGGTTTTTTCAATATATTTCTTTTAGCTTTTTGCTTATGGTCGGTTTGGTGATAATGTTATATTCCGGGATCAGATATGGACCCAGACGATGACATCAACGGTGCCAAAAGGAAGCGAAAGGAAGTCGATGGCATCTCACTTCCGCCATTCGGGTTGGCCACTTACAAGATGCAAGGCGACGTGTGGGCGTCGGGCAATTGCGGGCGGGACCAGGAGAAGTTAGTGTCGCTTTTGAGCGTGGCGGATTCGTGGCTAAAGCAACTTGGGGTCCAGCACCATGACTTCAACTACTTCACGGGGATTCGACGTGGCTGAAGTTGTTATTGTCCCATGGAATTGAATTGTTTTATTTTTAAAAAAAATATTTTTACAGGATTTCAGCAGGGAGCTAGGGGGTATGAGTAGTGAGAGTTAGTCTTTTTTTTTTTTTGCAACTGTTTTAAGCCAGTTTATGGGCTTAATTGTTGGGTGTCGTCCGACAACTGTTGAGACCTTGTCGGATTGTATGATATAAAAACTTTGTCCTGACCAATATTAGACCACGGTTACACAATTTATATAACTATTTTTATACCAAAACAATATTATTATATAAATATAAATACCGTTGACGCAATACTTCCTAAGATGGCCAGAAGGAGTTTCTTGTAAGTCAAAAACATGAAGAAAGCAAATCACGTGGGTCCATACTTCTAATGTGCTTTAGTTTTACTTTATTCAGTATCAACCTCCTTCAAACACTCTACAACCCACAAGTTCTTCTTTTTATATACAAAGGTATGTTAGTTTCGCGTAAAACGTTTTTTGAAAAATATTTTTTTTTTCATTTTTTAGTTTTCAGTGTTTGATTGGAGGAAAATTAGTTGCAAGAAAATTGGTTGGTCAACGTAAAATATTTTCCTGATCAACATAATTTCCTTTGTATTTTCTGAAAAATGACTTACGGTCTGATTTTCCAGAAGTCATTTTCCGAACTTTTCACTTTAAAGAATAAATACTCAAAAATAATTTTATTTTATGAATTTAATATTAATAAAATATTTTAATATCATTTTAATCAAAATATTACTTATTAAAATATTTAAAATATATTTATTAATATTTCTAATTATATAATATATTTAATAAAGATATTTAAAATATACTAATTATTATTTTTAAAATATAATATAATACTATTAATTTAATAAATAATTAATATAATTTATAAAATTTTTATTTCAATAAAATATACCAATATTAATATTTTTATTAATAAAATTATAAAAATAATATTTTAATAATAAATAAATTATTTTAATATTTTAAAAATAATAATATTAAGTTTTATGATAAATAATAACATTTATTGTAATAAATAATTTTTAAAACAATTATCAACTAGTGGAAAAAGGGTTTAAACAACATCTTTCAAACATAGTAAAACGTTTTCCAGAAAATGTTTTTCATAAAATGTAATTCATTTTACGGAAAATATTTTTCGGAAAACGTTTTCAGTGAAACAAACGGACCCTAAAATTCAATTACAAATGACCAAAGTAGTAAAATGAATTTTCAATTATGAAAAATGCATATATATTAAAATAAGATTGCCTTAACTTAGAATTTTAGGTGACTTGACTTAGAGGTTAGATTGAAGTAGACTGAGCTAAATAACTCCGACTTGATGAGAGGCGGATTATAGTTTTCGTTCACGCCAGGGCACGATAAGTCGTTAATTCGCCTCCCCAACTACGTTGATGCTGTTCTTGATTTGGAGCGGTGGAGGTATTCAAACGCTTAATTTAATTAATTAAATCGAATTGAATAGAAATATTTTTATTTAATTTTTAATTATGAAAATGTACATATGTTATCAATAATGTTTCACTAATTTGGTCGGCTTGCTCGAAATGTTTTAAAGGGAAATGGGCTCTCCAATCATTACTGGCTTGGACCTCAAATGACAGACTAATAGCCCTTTGTTCACAAACAACTAAGACAATACCTTTCCTAATAGTATCCCACTGAAAATTAGTGCACCAAACCATTTGTTCGATTCGAACCTATGAAAAATGAATAAAAATTTATCAGCTGTATTCAAATGATGTTAAATTTATTTTTAAATATATTTAAAAGTATTATTTCGAAATTTATATTCGAATATGAATTAAGTACGTACTTTCGATTGCAATCCGTTGGAGATGACAAGTTAGCAGTCCCTATCTGCCAAGTTAATTGTGCAGCTGCAGCTGCTAAAAATGCGTAAAACGGCCACCCTGCTCCCGAAAACAATCGTTATGAACAAGACAGGGCCAAAATAATTGATCGCAAGTGTTTGTTGAAATGTCCAAACCAAAATCAATTAAATACCTAATGCAGCATTGTATCCAGCAAGAGCAAAACTGCCGATGCCTGCAATTGCAAAGCCAGTGGTCCACTCCTTGGTTGATTCACCGAATTTCAAGGCTGTTGATTTAATGCCTACTTTCAGATCGTCTTCTTTGTCCTGACCAATTTATAAGAACATCAAACACTACAGTATAACATGACAATAATTATTGATATATACACCTTTTGTTGTTATCCACTGATTACACACCAGATGAGCATAAATGGTATCGTAGAGAATGGTCCAGAAATAGCCATAAAGGAAGAGTGGGAAGACAATAGATGGTTGTAAGCTTCCTTTAACCGCATGTCACCCGACTATAGCTCCCCGGTTCATGGTTAACCCTAAATAGGCTTGTGGCTACATCATATCATACCATATCATCAACCCTAAATAAACTACTTTTAAACGTTGCATATATATATCATGGCGAGTAAGGTGAGATGTTCGGGAGGGAGAAGTTGTGTTTCGGTGATCATTTTCAATATTCCAGAGTTTCTTCATTATCAAGGTCTTTGGTTAATATTCGATAAATATGGCGAGGTGGTAGATTCTTTCATCCCTAACAAAAAAAAGCAAGGGAGGAAGAAGATTCGGTTTTGTTCACTTCAATAGATTGGAGGACGCGAAACAGGCTATCATTTGTGCTGATAGATCAAGGATTCAAGGAAATAAGGTGAGAGTTTTCATGGCAAGATTTCAACCTCGGGAGGCCTACTGGAGAAAGAAGTGTTTTGTTGCAAAATCAGCTGAGGTCAAGTGTAGAGAGGAGGATGTTAGTCTATCAGAGGTTCCCATTGTTGGTGTCATTGATGAGGATAAGCTAATAACTCTTAGAGATAGCTTGGTAGGTCGGTGTAGAAAATTTACAAAAATGAATGGGTTGGCTTCTATTATGCATAAGGAAGGCATTTTAGGTCCGAGAATTATGAGGCTAAGCGGATTAGCTATTTTAATCATCTTTGAAGATGAAGAGAGTAGGGATTTTACTCTGAATAATCAGATGGGGCGTTAAAAAACTGCTTCGACAAAGTTGAAGTGTGGTCGGATAACTTTCAGTGCAGAAGTCGTCGGACATGGTTATCATGCAAATGGATCCCACCTTTTGTGTGGAGTCATTCAACTTTAAGAAATATTGCAGAAAAATGGGGAACTCTTATCTCCATTAATGAAGGGACTTTAAATCTCGGATCCTTTGACAGGGCGTTGTTTCAGATTATTACAAATTGCCCAACTCGAGTGGAAGAATCTCTTAATTTGAAAGTAGGGGAGCGAATGTTTTCTGTTTATGTTTCTGAGTTTGAACCTCGTTTCAGCCCGGAATCTATTTGGGAAGATTCGCCTTTGATGGAAAAGGAATTTGCATCCCCGTCTCCTACGGTGGGGAACCTCGTTGGCATCTCTCCAGTTCAATCTTCTGAGTTGGTGGCATGTGTTGGATTGTCTTCTCAAATGGAGGTAATGCATGAAGAAAATCAAGTGTTTAGGGATGGTTTGTTTGTGGGTGGTGGTGAGTGTTCAGAAGCTGAGAATGTTGGCGTAGCTCCTTGTTCCGAAGAGGTATGGGCTGGGGAAAAAGATTCCTCGACAGTGTGCAGTGAGGCAGATGCATATGGTCTCGTTTGTCAAGGGAGTGGCACGCATATTGATTTGGTGGACATTAATAGGGAGCACGTTGGGTCTATGGTGGAATTATGTGATACTCTCGAAACTAATGGGAAGGTGCATGAAGTGTCGGCCAATTTATTTGTTGACTTGATTGATAAAGGTGATAAGAGGTCTCCAAGCGAGGAGAATATAGGCGTTGTTCCCAGAATTGAAGAGTTGTAGACACTAAAATTTTTGCCCGTTTATTATTATTATAATAATTGTTATATTTATTATAATAATTGTTATATTTATTATAATAATAATAATTATTATTATTATATTTTTATTATTATTAATAAATATTATTATTACAAAACAGGCCCTAAATATTACAAGGCCCAATTCTGGCCCATTTTACAAAACCCAGATGGCCCAAAACAATCCAGGCCCAAGCTTAACCCTAATGATACATGGTTTGTATCATCTCATCAGCTCCCAGCTGCCATCAAATCACAACCGTTGGATCTGGCTATGATCCAACGGTCTTGATGCTTCCAGAAGTAACCCTAGGGTTATGACAACCCTAGGGACCATGCGGCGGCGCCTCCACGTCCAGTTGCCTTGCCGATGTTGTTGCCACGCCTCAAGCCTCGCCGAGCCTTCCAGAAGAGCCAGCTGCCCCACACGTCGCAGTTATTGGGGTGAGTCACAACATAGCTCGGTGACTCATCGAAAACCACTCTATTATCTGGTCCGACGAGAGCCTTGTGGTGGCTTATAATGCCACCACCGAATCTGCAAAGAAAAAGAAGAAGGGACAGGAAGAATCCGAGAGAACAACAACCAAACCACCAAAATAAAATAGATAGAAACCTTACCAATGAGTCAGATAGTCGCCGGAGCCTCCAAATCTCGCCGAAGAAACAAAATACTGAAGGTATTTTTTTTGTAGATCTATGTAAATAAGAGCCTTTTTAGGAGAAACTAGGGTCGGATTTGGGTATAGATCACTCGGATCTATCATTTGGGAGGTTTTTGTATTTTTTCGACTACCGGAGGCGGTGGCCGGCGGTGAGGATTACGGCGGCAGACGGCTGCCAGCCGGTGACTGGCTTCCCTCCGATGAGGGAAGCTAGAGAGAAGCCATAGAATTTTCATTCTCTCTCAGCTAGAGAAAGAATGCAAAATAAGAAAATGAAGAAGATGACCCGAAGGGCTGGCTGTAAGGGATTTAAATACCCCTTCCCAAACGATGCCGTTTTGGGGAGGGGTATGTGTGTAATTTTTAAACGTTAAACCCTGTCCGTAGTCCCTCTGTTTTATATGTTTTACATTTTAGTCACTGAATCAAATTTATGATCCTTTTAATTTGGTCTCTAAATTTTATTTATTTATATTTTAGCCCTTAACCGTAATTATATATATTTAAAATAAAATATCAGATTTAGTCCTTAATTTTAATAATTAATATTTTAATCATGAACAACATGTTTTAATTTGATGTTCGAATTTTATA